TGTGTGTGTGTGTGTGTGTGTGTGTGTGTGTGTGTCAATGTTTCTGTCTGTCTATCTGTCTGAAAGACATCTATGCGGTTCCGTTTTTGCTCCGAATGGCAGAAACTCATATCTACTCAACGTTGATACACGCCTTAACAGCATTTGATCTGGTGTTAGCAATCAAGGGTGCTAATTGAAGATGGTTACATCCCTCATCAAACATACAGGTGTCGCCGACATAGCAGTATGAATGGTTATTATCAGTTGTGAAAATTTGTTCGTCGCCATTGCAGAATGAAGGGTGGTTTAAAAGTGTGAAGCCATCTGTTCCATATTCTCCGCAGCCACGAGACAACATGATACTTTGAATAACAGTCCCTCTGGTATCGCATTCAACCTCCATACTTTCTGACGGAATCTCAGCAGTCAAGATTAATTGATTCTCAGTTTGCCCCGTACATTTCACGAATATCCCAACCGATTCTTCCCTTTCAGCAGAAAATGGTGCGAAGCTCTGGCATTCTCCCACATTTTCATCTGGTTGCACGGAGCAAAAGGGATAGTTTTCCATAAATTCCAATATTCCACCATCCTGACATCGCATCAAAAGAGGCGAAGACTCCCATAGACATCCTCTACTTTGACCCGAAACTCTCCAATCTACAAGAGTTATTGACGCCAAGGAAGAAGCGTCGAATAAATGATTTTGCATATCTTGGTCAGCAACTACACGTGAACAACTCATATCTGCGTTTGTATTGGACATAATGACTGGTTCAAGTAGCAGGTCGTCACAAGAACCTGCAATTCCATGCTTGTCACATATGGCAGGACTCGCACAATAGGCAGTCTCTTCTTGTTTCCAAGGCATTCCTCGATCGCAATTCTGGTTAACGTCAACGAGATCTCCGCATTGTCGACGAAGTGTTACAAATTTGACAGCATTCCCACCGTTTTTGCAGTTTGTTCCAAAACTTTTCTCAAATGTAGCGGTTGACATGAGGTGAACTTTTTCAATTCCGGAACAAGTGAATTCGATTGAAGAGTCGGATTGAAATTCGTCTTGTTTGCACTGAGCACGATCGTGACTGACCTTAGTGCACTGGGCATTCTTCGATTCATTTATTTCAATGATTCCACMTCCGTGACAAACGAAAAAGATGTTTGGGACTTCGTGTTCGCATTGGTTAACAGTAGATCCCCACTCGGCTGTGTAGGATGAAATTCGAGTATCAATCTTGGGTTGGACAGGTACAATGACTTGTGTAGGCGTTGGTATCGGCGGTCGTTGCAGGTTTGAAACTGGATGATTTGTTGGAACGGGAACAGGGTTAGCACTTGGAGGAGTCTGAGGTAAAAATGTCGGGGGGGATCTTTGATTGTTTTGATTGTTTCGTGCATCCGTGGTGAAAGTGGGAGGAATAGGCCTTTCATCGTTGGCCGTAATACGAGACGGCTTAGGAGAGAGCGTTCCACTCGCTTGCTCTGGCCAACGTCCCTCTGGAACAGGGGCAGTTACAGGCAGCTGCGTCGACACAGGTCTGATTGTTGGTGTTGCAACAGGGGATGGGAAACGCCCAGCTGGAATCGGTGGTGACGTCGGCGTAACAACTGGTGATGGCGTTGGTCTCTTTGATGGTCTCGTTGTTGGTTTCCCCGATGGTTTTTTGGTTGGAGGAAGCGGCAACGGGGGAAGAGGAGCGAAGAATTCGAGAAGATTATCTGGTACAAGGAAATCCGCTGTTCCTATGTTACCAAAACCAAGACCATCTAGCGCATCTGTGTCGTTGTTTCGAACCCCTATGAAACTTCCGTGATTCAAAGAGAATACGCTTTGGATTAAAACCGAAACTACAAATACTTTAAGGAAGACCATATTGTTGCTGAAGTTCATGGAAAGCGATGAAGTTAAGATTGATTTCTTCGTCGATATGAAAGTTTGATGTTTTGATGCATACAGAGAAGGAAAGGTTTCTGAAGACCACTTCATACCGTCTTACCGTCAAAAGTTGGATCAAAACGGTTTTGAAGATTGAGATCAGAAATAATATGCCGCCCTGCGCATAACGGTAGACCAAAATTTTTCTGTTTCCTAACGGCATTTTGATCGATCCAGTCAGAAATTTCATTCACGATTAAGTTTAGGTAGTACGAAGAAGTAGTAGAAGTAGAAAAACAAAAAACAGGTACTTCGAAGTACAACACAGTTTCCAAAAATTTGAAAATCCAAAATCCATTTAGTTCCAGACGTGCTTGCGTAAAAAGATGGGACTAAAATTATATGATAGCTGCCGTCTTGACGTACCGTACCGTACGTACGTAGCTAGGAACTGGACCTGATCGTTTCACGTCACCTTTCACCTTGAACTTCTCAGCCTCACATTGATAGATTGATTTCGTACTTATGCACGGTACCGCACGTACTTACTGTACCGGTAGAGAAGATCAACACTAAATAATTTAAGTACGTACTGTACTCCTAAATATTTCTGTGTACAGAGCGTCAAATTCGTCAAATTCCGACACATCAATAATCAAAAACATTGACGTCAAGAAAATGGAAGTTGTACGCACTACGCACTCTTGTATCTGCCAGAAGGGGACTTACGTCGTACGAAGTACTTCTAATGAATTTGTTTTGTTCTGTCGTCCTGACAAAACTCTTTGGATGTGCTCACCAAGAATTTCAAGTGTAACTTCTTTAAAGTCCTTCTGTAGTCATATCGGCACCAAATGACCATGAAAATCAATATTTTGCAAAAGAACACGGCATCACTCGTGTCCATATTGCTGTTAGTATTACAACTCTCTTCTTCTTTTGTTATCAAGAGTGATAAAACAGCCTTCACAAATGGGAGGAATAACATTGCATTGGGTGTTCTAGCCGATGTCGACGATAAAGTTTCTGATGTAGCGGACGCTGGGGATGACACTTCGAATGTATCGGTTCTTGTTGACGTTTTGAATAAGCGGCTGAAGGGAGGAGAAGGAAGTTTGACCGATGCAGACACGAATGCTGCAATAACCGCAAGCGATTCTTTGTTGGTTCATTTGGGCGAGCTCAAGAATTCAGTAGAAAGCACCGAGTACTCTCAAAGCGACCTCCACACCGCCGCGAGAAAAATGGACGTTGATACCGTCTCAAAGATGCTTGATGCTGGCTTAGAAATGGATGCTATTACGACAGATACAGCGTTTTGGGCGGTAGTCAAGGCCGTAGATCAAGCAGAGGCACAAGATCTGCCCCTCTCCGCCAACGTGACACAAATGCTTCACCACGTCTTCGATGCCGATGTGAAGCAATTGTTGTCACGCGAGAAAATAGGTACCAACATAACGTGTATGCAACCAGACGACACCGGTGGCATCGCTGGCTCTGCAAAAAAGATGAGTTATATCTTCGACGATTCGGCCCACAAGGACCTGCCACTCATGGAGGGACGTAAATGCGAGGGTGGGACATGTTGCGATGCGTGCAGCCGGAATATCTTTCCCACGTTTGCATCAGAAGCTGAGAGTAGCCTCGTAACCTTCCCCGAGCTTTCATCGCTCACTTTCAACGATCTGGAGAAAGTGTCTGCGAGCACCATCATCCAATTTGTGCGATTGATTGAGCGAGTGCGCCGCACCATTTCACATGAATACGGTTTGCCTCTCAAGAATATCCTCCCACTACAGGCGTATTCGAGAAAGTATGTTGCCGGATCGACGCAAAAGGGTGGCGGTGGTGGCGAGGGTGACTTCGTTATCCTTCACACCGACGAGGCCACACACGATGGATATCACTATTCGTGTGTGCTCTACCTGAGTACTCAGGGTGTGGACTTCGAAGGTGGCGACTTTGTCTTCAACGATCCGGCTGAAATTGTGCAAGAAATTTCGAGCACTGATAGCAAAGAAGATACCGAAGAAGACAAAGTAGACGAGGATTTATTAGGACAACTTCTCCGTGGGGAACTCCCTGACGTAGATGTAGAGGTTACCGATGACGACGAGGACGAAGGCGAGGGAGAGGATCTTGGCGATTTGGAACAGCAGATTCGTAATGATGGACGAAAACTCACCCCATTTCACCCGAAGCGAGGCGCTGCTGTTATTTTCTCCTCGGGGTGGGAAAACATGCACGAGGTCGAAAAGATCACGTCCGGTGTTCGCTACGCTGTTCCGTGCTTTTTCACCACCTGCCCCGTGCCAGATATAGCGTACGACCAAATGAATGTCGGCAAGCCCAAGACCGACGAGGACATTGCCGATGACTGGCTGCATCTGCTGCTAGCTCACCGTAAGGAGGAACCGATCGAATCTGTGGGGCGTGTTAAGGAGCTCCTCATGAAGTGGCACTACATCTGCACACCCCTTTCCGAGCACTAAATGGCTTAAAAACCAAATGATGAACAATTCAGAAATCAGGATTATTCATTGAATTAGGATTTGTTGGGCAGACAGATACGTTTCAAATTGGAGAGCTAAAAAATTATCAACCAGCCAGTTCAAACCGAATCTAATTTTGTGTTTCTGCTGGATGAAATTCCAAAGACAACGTCGTGATCCTGATTAGTGTGTGTATCATTTTGGAAAGATTACATAAGTTTAGTAAATGCTACATTTCTTTCTGGCATTCTCCGGTGTTATGATAATTGTTGTAGAGAGAACGCAACTAAAGTACCTACTAGCATCGATTCCTTGCTGCACATGATGCGCCAATCCGAGTATCCGAGTACTGTTCTGTGCGTACGGCATCTTACTGAAACACGAAACAAAAGCAAGAATCAGAGCTAAAACGATTCCTAGTCTTCGAAAAAAATACGATACGTACCGTAGGCACGCACAACTCCGTCTTCACATTTATTCGGATTCTTTGGATGTCATCTAGAAAAGTGAAGTACCAGGCGCACGAATCACAGCTGCCAACAGTGCAATAATCTCTATCTTTTTATCGTAATGTAATCAGATATGTATTTTCCCGCTTTGGTCAAATGCAAAGCGCAAGGTAGAAATCATGCAACATCAAACAAACGGGAAAACGGAAGCCACAGTGGAATGCTTCGAAAGTACGGGTAGGCGTCTCGCCGAGGACGTCGCTTCTCTTACAAGGGTCAGAAGTCGGTTGTCGAAAACGTCAGATGAAAAACTGCACACAATCATACCCGCTCTGATTCCAAAGCTTTTTCAACGATTGGAGAATTATAGCGGCCTACTTACGGGTGATAACAGCAACAATGAACAACTCTCTCTCGATGCTACGACGCTGTCCATCCTGGAGAAAGCACGATACCAAATCAATCGAATCACATGTAGCGCCATGGGACGTTTCCGAGGAAATGAGAGCATACCTACCGATCCGATAGCACGCGCAATGCTCCCMTTTGTCGATTCGGACAGTGCGGTTGTTGGCACATGGGCACTGGCATTTCTTCAAGTGTCCATTCAGAGGACTTCTGTGACAAATTCTTCGTTGATTTCTGATCTCATTCCTGCTCTATTGGAATCCATAGGTCGACTGCATGGACGTATTTCCCAGATGGCGGAAAGCCCTCCAGCCAACAGCCCGCTCGAGGCTCGATGGATTCGTGTCAGCTGGCTTTTGTTTGATTGCATCGTTCTCGATTCAGGGCAAGAGCCGATGTTTGATTGGGACACCGAAACGTTTGACATCACTCGGAGAAATGCAATAGCAAGTGATGGTGATGACAATGGCAGCCACGATTTATCATCTTTTCCAGCTCTGTGCCAAGCTACGAGAGTAATAGAAGCCAACGACCAAAGTACATCCGATGGATTTTTCTGTCTTTTGTTGGATCTTCTGTTTTTTCTACCCATGCATCCAGTACCTGGTGATAACACGACTGTGTTGTCTCGACTCGGTATGCATCGAATGGAGCACCGAAATGACCTCGTTCCGGCTTCCATCGATGAACAGGAAGAAAATGTCGTGTTCGTACCCATCGCTGAAGAGCACGAAGGTGGTATGCAGCTTCAACAGAGACCTGTCCGACCGAGGAGGAGGAGAGAATGGTCCAAATCAAATAAAGCGTATCTTCGTTACATGAAACTCGTTACTCTTGAGCTAGCAATCTGGCCTCCACGTCGGGGATTTTTCCAAGGGGTGGATAATGATCGAGCCCTGCTCTTGAGCATTTTTGTGGCCAATTACGAGTCAATGCACGGACGAATTGCCATGTCTTATCTGAAGGAGTGGAAACATAAAAACAGCTTTGTGCCGTTGCCAGTTGTAGCTAGTATTCTTGTCCTCATGATCGGAGAAGCCGAGGCAAGCGAAGTGCTAGATGAATTCGAAACAAAGCAAGGAATCAAGTTACCCGAACGGTTGTTGGGAGCAAAGAGCAAAAACAAAGCCATTTGTCGACCGTCAATGCCATGGATAGTAACTTCAAGTGCTGCAAATGCTCTCATGGAAATTTTGATTGATTTGAGAGATTCGACGGGCATGATGAATACCAGTACTAATGTTGATGACGAGAAACATGCAATCCTAGTGATTGAATTATCGCTTAAATTATCGGAAATGGATGACAACAGATATACGTTTCTAGCCATTCGCCTCGTCTCAATCTTTTGCAACCATATCCAGCAAACCACAACGATTCTGGCTTCGAATATACTAGGGATCGTCACTAAGGTGCTTGCACTCTTGGTGGATTTTGGCGCCGGAGATGAATCGAGAACGAGAACAGAGCGTGGCGATCGGATTCCTCTGGGAGCCCCCGTTCCATTTTCCAATCGCAACGACCTGAATCAATTGCTACAGAATCACCGAGAATCTCTGAAAAGAGAGCGCATGAAGCGAGACGATGCCCTCCGAGCACGAGAGGACGCATATACGCTGATTCCTCGTCTATCTTCACATGTTTTCGAGCGAGCCGAAACCTCGCCCTTTCGGCTCCCCAATCTATTGCTCCAGTGTGCTGTCTACGAAGATCGATCTCTGGAGCACCACGCAATCGAAGCCTTGGATTCGATGCAAGCCGCATACAAACAAAAACTCGACAAAGATGGATCGCTTTTCGGAAAGGGACACGAGCACTACGGGATGCCCCTCCAGCAGCAGGCAACTTCTCTTCTGCCGGCGTTGCTGGAGGCGGTGTGCTCCGGATCCGTGTGCGTGCGCACGAATGCCGTTCGGTGGATCCGAAGGGTGCTCCTAGCCATGGATTCCGAGGCCGCGTCGTACCTGGCTGCCCACCTTGTCCGAGACGACAACCGCGGGATCGCCGTGCTGGCACGAGAAATCCTCGGGATCACCGCTGCCAACACGCTGGCCGTCGATGTTCCCGGGAAGATGGCCGTGTCCTTTCTGAACCTGGCACACAGCGATGGATGGGCCACCGTGAGGAAGGAAGTCGAGCAACGAAGCAGAGAACTGGCTCGGCGGCTGCAAATGGCGTCGTGCGAGAAGAGCGCGGTTCTCCTCCTCCACAACGAGTTTTCCGTATCCAAGGCAGAGTCCGAATACCTCAACGATAGACTGTCGTGCCTAGATCGCTGCGGTCTGGTTTCGGAGAACAACTTCGATGCAAAGGAAGGAGGTCCCAAAACGATTGGGTGCGGAATCTGCTACGATGACGTGGAAACAGAACAAACATACTCTTTGCCGTGTGGTCACGCCTTTTGCAAGCCTTGTTGGGTCTCGTACGCAAGAACTGGTTCCGACAAAGCACTGCAGGGGTACGTTTTGGATCTCCGGTGTCCCCAGCACGGGTGTGGCGTTCGCGTCCTGCCGAGCGACCTCCGGCAGCTCGAGCCACGCCTCGCTCCGGAATGGAAGGACGCCTTGCTCCGGAGGTTTGTCGAGGAGGACCCTTTGCATCGGTACTGCCCCGGACCGGACTGCGGGTGCGTCGCGAGGGCACCCGAGCCCCGACCGGCGGTCTCCACCACGCGGGCTTCCCTACGGGTAACCTGCCAATCTTGTGCCACTTCGTTTTGCTTCGGGTGCGGGAGAAACGACCACGCCCCCGCCTCGTGCGAAGACATGGAAAAATGGAGCTCCATCGAGGGATCTTCTCGTTACTGGATCAAGAACAACTCGAAACCGTGAGTTCCTGCGATTGTCTCCTCCGCGCAGAGCGTTCTTGCCGCAATTGCCAAACCCAATCTTCTTGCTCCACACCTCACCCCCATCCGATTGTCCTCGCCTTTTCCCCACCAGGTGCCCCGGCTGCGGCGTACCCATCGAGAAAACCACGGGGTGCAACCACATGCGGTGCACCCGGTGCCAGACGGAGTTCTGCTGGCTGTGCCTGAGCCCGCTTCACAGCTACCTCGAAGCCCACGTCTGTAGCCGCTACGAGGCTTCCGGGGCCGCGGACGACGGCTTCGAGAAGCGGGCCCTCTTTGCTGTCACCCGGTACCAGGCCCACGGTGCCGCCGCCGGTTTTGCCGGGAACCAGATGCGGAACTTCGACCCGGAACGCTTTCTCGAGACCTTTTGGTTCCTGGAGGAGTGCGACGACCCGGCGGCAACGATGGCCCGGGCCCTGGAGGCCTTGGTGGCGGGCCGGGAGTTTCTGAAGCACTCCCACGTCCGGATGCTCTTTCGGAACGACGGGGAATCCGCAAGACTCCAGGAGGACCACCACGCGTGCCTCGAGGTGGTTGTCGAGCGGCTGAGCCGTCTGACCGAGATAAACCTGCACGACCACTACGCCCGGCGGGGGCGGACCGGGATCCGCCTCCACGTTCGGAAGCTGGCCTTTTACGCGGTGTGCGTCGCCCGGTACACGGAACGGATTGCGCGCCTGGAGTAAACCAGCAGGTTTTTGCTTCGACTTATTCCCGCAGGCAGGCTTCCAGGGCGTCGCAAAAGTCGCGGATCTCGGTTTCCGTCGTCGTGTAGGACACGGAGGCCCGCACCAGGTCCGGAACACCGGTTTCCGACGAGTCCAGCGGCGTGGAGGTCGCCGGGACGACGCTCAGCTCGAAGCCCTCCGCCCACATCGCCTCCCGGATGGCCGAAGAAGCCACGCCCGGGCACCAAAAGGCTACGATCCCGCATCTCGTGCTTCTCGAATGGTGGATCCGTAGCGCCGGGATCCGTTCCCGGAGGACGTCCCGGAGCCGGGAGGACCGTTCCTCGATGTCCCTCTGGATGGCCGGGAGGCCCCGTTCCAGGGCGTTGCGGACGGCCTCTCCGAGTCCCAGCCGGCCCGAGACGCCGGATTCCCAGAACTCGAACCGCTTGGCGCCTTGTCGGGGGGAAAAGTCCACCACGCCCTCGTTCTGGAGCTGGGTGCCGGGCCGGTACACCCCTTTCGGGGGAACCGAGGCCACCGGGCAGCCGTAGTGGTCGATGTGCGACGGCACGAGGTCGTGCGCCAGCATGCCACTCGACACGTACAGGAATCCCGTTCCCCGTGGCCCCCGCAAATACTTTCTTCTGAGGAGCGAATTCGAAAAAAAAAAACAGCAAGAAGCCACGCGGGTGAGATTCGCTACTGCCGAGCGCAACACACGGGCCTCCGGCCGGGTTCTTCCCATCCAAACCGTCCTTACCCCGTGGCCACCAGCGCATCGCACCGCACGGCCCGCACGTCGACGTCCATCTGGCCGACGCTCTGGCAGGCATCGACGAGGTACTTGATGGAACCGAGGTACCCCCCTGCACCACCGGTGTGTCTCCGCCCCTCGTTGTGGGCCCGGATCTTCGCCCCGATGTCCTCCACCGGGTTGACGATCCCGCTGTTGGTGGGCACGTGTGTGACGCAGACCAGGGCGATCGACGACGGGTCCAGGCGGACGGGGTCTTTTCCGTCCTCCCCGCCGGCCTCGTAGGCAAAGGTGCCGTCCAGCATGGCGTCGAGGGCGTCCAGGTCGACCCTCCCGGTGCTCCCCCCGCAAGGACCCACCGACGACGGAAGGGCCAGAACCACCCAGCGGTCCCCGTGGTCCCGGGCCCACTGGCACGCCGCCACGAGGTTGGCGGCGTACTCGGCCTCGCTCACCAGGATCACCCGCTTGGTTCCATCGGGGGAGGCCCTCCGCTCCAGCTCGTCGCGCTGGACCATGGCGTAAAAGGCCCGGGTCCAGCCCACCGTGGCGGACTCGACCAGGGCGATGCACCCTGGTTCCGCGCCGACCAGCTCCGCGACACTCCGGTAGACATCCTCCAGCCGCCCGGAGTCCCCGGCGGCGTTCTGGGCCGCATAGCCCCCGTCCTCTTGCTCCCTCCGGAGGTGGGAGCACACCGCGTCCAGGACGCGCTGCGGGGAGGGGGAGGCCCCGGCGTGGTTCAGGTGGACGATCTTCCGGAGGGTGGGATCTTCCGGGGGGTTCTCCCGGCATCCGCTTCCGGTGGAAGACAGCCGCAGCTGGGACGGGAGGGCATTTGGGAAGGGGAATCCAGGCATTCCCGGCGACGTTTGGTGCCGTGCTGTTCCCGGTGGGAGCCGACGGTTCGGGCTACCGTGGGAAAGGCCCGAAACGAAACCATGGGGAGGAAGCGGCCGCCGGCGGAGAGGGAAGCGGGCTATCGCCGCGAGCACCGTGGCACAGGACGCCAGGAGGCGTCGGTTCTTGTTCCAGGGAACCAGCATGCTCCGTGGGAGTGTCGGGTTTCGGGGAACGTCGCAGCTGTAAACGCCGTGAGGAAGGCCACAACGGGCGGGTGTATTTGTGTCCTTTCTTGTGTGCCTCTGGAAGGATCGCCGGGCATCGAAAGGCATCCACTGGAAAGCACGCGATGCAACTCGAAGCGCGAAAAGATTGTCGTCGCACACGGGACATTCGATTGCCACCATCGCGGAGAGCGCAGATTCCTCCGAAGGTGCCGCGGAACGTGTTGAGCAAGCAAGGTTCTGGTTTTTAGTTGTTCGAAATCTTTTTCGTGCGAGGCTTTTTCGTATCCTTGCGGTACCGTACGAACCTGGTACGGTACCGTACGGTAGAGAAAGACGGAGCGTGACACGATACAATGGAAGTAATGTAACTCGTACTGAAGTAGCGCCGATTTTCCTACGTGCCTGTCCCTCGCACGAGAGAAATGATTGATTCTGTTTTTCGTTTTTCACCAAACGATTTTTCGTTTCTTTCCAAAAATGGTGTGTTTCGCGTTTTTTTCTGTCACGAGTATGCGATGGGAACAGTACGTACCGGTACGAAAACCATCGTAGCATACATTACGTTACTGTACGTACGTACGAAGTTCTACAAGACCACCGTAGTGCCATACCGTAGAATGATTATGGTTGATGGGTCTTGTCTGTCCGCTCTCGTTGTTGTTCGATGGGTGTTTTCCGATGCATCATACCGGTACTCGTACTCCTACCGGTACGGGCACTACTAGTAGCGTCGTCTTGCAAACAACACTCATCTCACTTGCGCAGCCCGGCTTCTCGACCGAAACGAGACCTGCAAACCCCCGACAGGACTTCCGTCGACACACCGCCCGGGACGATTCTTGCTGCGACCCACCGCATCCCTTCACATTCACCACCGGTCCTTCCAGAGCAGCGGAAACAGATACGCCTGCACACGCTTCCACACGCTTGCACAAACACCCACGCCGCAGCCTGCCCGCTCCGAAACCCTTTGCGCACCAGGCACGAGAACGAAAACGAAAACAAAATGGCGGCCCCCAAGGCGTTCGGTGCTTCCCGCTGCCGGGTGCTCCTGGCCCTCCTCGCCGCGGGCCTCTCCCCCGGGTGCGTCCGGTCGTTTTGCCCTTCGCCGCACCCCCCCCCGAACAGCTTTGCCTCTTCGAAGGCACGGCCCCCGCCGGCGGCCCTGCACGGGTGGGTCCAAAAGGACGACGGGGAGTGGGAGTGGGAGGAGGACGACCCGGACTTTGTGCCGCCGCCCCCCGTCGAGGTCGCGGCGGCCGAGCCCTCCTCTCCCGCGGCCCCAAAGGCCACGGCCACCCCGCAGCTCCCGTCGGGAAAACTCAAGCCGAAGCAGTCGCTGGGGCAAAACTTTCTCCGGGACGGCAACACGGTCGCCAAGATGATCAAGGCCTTCCACCAGGACGCGACGGTCCACGGGGACCGCCCGGGCAAGCCCCTCACCTCGATCGTCGAGCTGGGCCCGGGGGCGGGGGCCCTCACCGACCGGCTGGTCGAGAACTACGGGACGGATGTCCTCCGGTGCATCGAGGTGGACCCCCGGGCGATCGAGATCCTGGAGGAGAAGCACCCGGCGCTCGTCGTCCACCACCAGGACGTCCTGCAGGTCGACTACCCGGAAATGGCGGAGGAGCAGGGGGAGCCCCTCGTGGTCATCGGAAACCTACCCTACTACATCACGAGCCAGATCCTCTTTGCCCTGGCCGACGCCAGCCACTACGGTGCCGTGGACTGCGCCACCGTCACCATGCAGTGGGAGGTGGGCCAGCGCATGGTGGCCCCGACCTCCTGCAAGGACTACGGCATCCTCTCGGTCGTCTTCCAGACCTACGCGGACGTCCGGTGCCACTTCAAGATCCCGCCCACCGTCTTTTACCCGCAGCCCAAGGTCGACAGCGCCCTGCTGGGCCTGCACTTTCTGGGACCCGAGAAGCTCCGGAGGCGGCTGGCGGGGGTCCGGCCCCGGGACTTTCGGACGGTCGTCACTACCGCCTTTCGCCAGCGGAGAAAGACCATCCGCAACACCCTGAAAAAGCTCCCGGGCATCGAGAAGGAGGTCCTGATGCAAAAGATCGACGCTCCCCCCCTCCCCCTCCCGGCGGAGGTCCTTTCCGCCATGGAGGCCGGGGACGCCTTTGCGAACGCCCAGGAGCTCCCGGACGACTGGATGCGCAAGCGGCCGGAGGAGCTCACGCCGGGGCAGTTCGTCGAGGTGACCCGGCTCATGTACGGAGACGCCGGTGGCAGCGCCGGCGGCGACGACGGAGAAGCCCCCTCCGGAGACGCCCTCGGGAGAAAGGTCTGGCGAAAGCTCAAGCACGGAACGTAGCAAGGSAAGGCACGGCAAGGCAAGGCAAGGCAACGCACGGCACGGCAAGGCACACGGCCCCGCTACACACGACAGACAGCCGTATTTAAATCCTACTACTAGCAGTATCCTTGAAAGTCAAAACGCAACACGCACTACTCGGAATTCAACGATAGCCGGCATTCGAAACAAATCGGACGTCCTTGATGCGTCTCGTGTGTCTATAGATTTCAATAGTGGAACAACAAATTCTGTTTTGGAATGCAGGGTTCCCCCGAACCCCGGAGGGCATCATATCCAATCCAATCGAATCGAATCGAATCGAATCGAATCAAACCAAACCAGAATCAGGGACCACCCCGCTTTGCCTCTTCCGCTTCCATCCGGCGCTGCCTGCGCAACTCCATCTCCTCCCTCTGGACGCGGGCGACCTCGATCCGGATCAGGTCCGACTGGCCCATGCCGTTGTAGTCGCCTTCCACGTTCCCGCTGGGATTGTATTTTCGCTTGCCGTAGAACTGTTCTCCCGCTCCCATGCGCTTCATCACGAAATCGTCGACCACCGCGTCGAAGTTGGTCATCATGCCCACGACGTCCTGGAAGAATCCCGCCGGCTTCTTGGGTTCTTCCTCCGCCTCGATCCCGGCGGGCTCCTCGTCCCCCTTGCCGCTGCCAAAGAACGAAAGACTCGTCGCCGCGACGCCCGCTCGGGTCGTTTGTCCGATGCGGTGTGCCTGGAAGCCCTCGACGCCGAATGCGGCGGCCGCAACGGCAGCGGCAGTTGCGCAGATCAGAAACCGAAAAGAGTTCATGCTGTTGTGCTATCGATTGGATGTATCTAGACACCGACCGTTGCAAAAGGTGGTACTGTACCGTACAATGGGGATGGGGCACCACTTCGTTCCTTCGTTTCGACGACACGAGGAGAACACTACGGTGCAGTCGAAGGCTGCGTGCAACGAAAGATTTTGTCTCCCGTCTGATGAGGTGGTTGGAGTACGAGTACGAAGCGCTAGCAGTAGCTTTTAACGGTAGTACGGCACGTACTAGTACTTCCCTTCACCGTACCGTATTTTACGTACGGTACGGTAAAGTTTTCTATGTAAGGCATTGCTTGTTCAACGATTGAAACGTGCACGTTTGACTCAAGTTTACGTTTGAAATTTTACCTTTTTCGAATTGTTTGTTACTGTATTTGGAACTTCTTTCTTTTCTTCTCCTCTATCGGTAGGAGATCATAAAATTCTTACTTCGGTTTTTACACCAGAGCCGAATTGATAGGGTATGACTACTCATGATTGTGCTTTTTCTCACACAGACAACTAAATGAACGAGAGTATTTTCTGCCAGTATTCCTACTTTTTCAATAATATTGCATGAACTCCACTAGCAGTCCTCGTGGTGATACTCCTTTTGATTTTGACGAAACAAGTCGTTTTTGAAAAAACTACGAGTAGCAGTAGTAGCTGAGCTTGTTTGCTCACTCATTCTGACATGTTCTGCATACTTTTCAAGGCCATACTATGTCTAGTAATTTCCCTTCGTAGCACTTCCCCAATTCTTCTGTTTCCTCGCCCCATATCACCTGCTTGGCCAGAACCTGAACTCCGGCATCTTTTGCCTCTCTGATGTACCTCGCAAACGATGGGCATGCGTCGATATTCGGACGAAATGCCTTTGCATCGTGGCGGATGACAACAAACAAAACGGTGCAATCGAAATCTTTTGTCTCGTCCGAAATCATTCGAGTGAGCTCACGAACGTGTTTGATGGCACGCGCTGAAACGACGGCCTCTCCGTCGGGTCCCTTTTGCTTGGAAGATCCCCAGGGAAAGATTGCCGTCCTTCGGTAGGGTTCTTCGTCACTGGTAAAGATGCACTTTGATCGATCCGGAATTGCTGCCTTGGAATAATCCGTGTCAACTACGGTTTTGACTTCCAGTATGCGAGGCGGTAGGCTAGAATCTTCGTGCTCGACCAGGAAGTCTGCTCTCATATCCGTTCCCCCTACGTTGCGAACTTCTCGTTTGTAGCTTTTCACCTTTGGAAACTCGGGCCCCAGCAAGTTGCGACCAACAAGCTCCTCCGCAATTTTCTCTCCGAGAGACGGGTGTGCGCCAACCCACGCCGGCTCGTACCCGAGATCGGACTCGTCGTACCGCAGCAGCTGCGCAATGAATTCGCACTTGGGCGTTCCGTATTTCGGATTCACGGCGTCTTTGCCGACCAGGTTACCTTTTTTGTCCCGCGCTGGCTTGAGCAACAGCTTCGCTCCAGGCACACACTTCCCGCCCATATCGAGGTTGGGAAGGTGCACGATGGCTTCGCGTTGCTCGTCTTCCAGCCACACGTCGCCCACGTACGGGGATCGGTTTCGCCGGGAAGGCCGTTTCCGCAATTCTGCCACAATGGTGTCTTCTGGGAGTGACAAGAGCAAATTGGATCCGACGGTGTCGGCGTTTCCCGAACCCTTGGATTGAGAATTGTTGTCGTCTATCTTGACTGTTCTGATTGTTCCCTGTTTCGGAGTCTTGGGCTTCAATTCTTCGTAAATCTCTGCAACAGAAGTTTTGCGTTTCTTTGGTTTCGATGATTTTTTTCGGCTGACAACAGGCTTTTTCGACTTCTTCGCTGTTGTGCTACGAGCATCTAGAGCGGTTTTTGATTGCCGTGTTACCCGAGGAGAGAAGCCGGCGACACTAGCCAGCCCACGGCGTTTCTGAGAACGTGTGACGACCATTGCGGCAATTAGGAGAGCAGATCTATTCCTCAGCAAGGGAAGGTTCATGTATTTGTATTGCGGTGACTATCGATGAACAAAGAGAGACGCGATATGGCTCAAGTAAACGTCCTCGAGAAGGTGACATTTTCATGAATCAGCATCGCTGATCTTGGGATATCGATGTTGGTATTTACGGTAAAAAAACAAACCCTTCCAAAATATCACTCAACTATCTCGTACTTTTATCGCGTACGTGCCGTAGATTACTGTATTGCTCGGGGGTACGAACTCGCCGGTAGAAGTAAACTTGAAAATCTGACTCATCATTCCCGTTTGGGACTAACCTTGCGCACCACGCATGCTTTCGTTGTTTCGTGCATAGTTTTTCGAGAAACCAGAAACTACAGTTCAGATCGACCCTGTCGATGGATCTATCCACGACTATCGTTGTCGACTGCATTCCGTTTCTTCACATCCAAAGAAAAAAGACGATCCACTTGCTACTACAAATTGGCGCAATTTAGAATCTTCTTGTTATTGTATCCTATAAGCATCTAGTTAGAGCGTGATAGTAAAATTCCGGTATACATGAAGCTAGAAAAAGCAGAGAGAACAAGAACTTTAATTTTGGAGATATTACGACCAAAAAGACGAGCGATCTGTTGCTACAACCTCCAAATGGTTGTATTGTACGCACAATATAGCCATCTATGCATCTTCTGGCGTTTTGACATATCGCACAGTTCTGCCCTGAAGGCCATTGAGAAAGGAAAGGGCATCCACTGGTTTCTTCGTTGCGGGTTGCAATCTATTGATTTCCAAGACGGAACCATCGAAACATACTAGCCGCAGACCATCCTTTTTAGTAGGACCCCTCTCTATGGTGTCGGTTGGGCCACCTTCTGCAGTTCCTTCTATTAATCGCGTTTCTAGGATCTTGTATTTCACGGGAGTGCTTCCTTCTCCTACTTCGAGATACATGAAAGCTCCGGGCCACATGGAAAATCCTCGAAGTCGATTATGCAAGATAGAAGCAGTTTCTTCCCACGGCTTCATTTCGGCTTCGGACGAATCAATCATCGCTGCTTGAACCACGTCGTCTTCGTCCTGCGGTCGTGCTGTCTCGAAACTCATTGCGCCCGATAAGATATCCGGCATACTTTCGATCAGAAGATCGGTTCCTTTTTCGAAAAGGAATGGAAGGACCTTCGTGGCCGTCGCATCCTCGCTGTTCTCGTCCTCAATAGTTTCTTCTTTTTGAGCAATGATTGGGCCGGCATCCATTTTCGAGACTGTATACAAGATTGTCACCCCAACAGGATTATCACCAGCCTCGAGGGATCGTTGCACAGGACTGGCACCCCTCCATCTAGGGAGCAAGCTTGGGTGAATATTGACAGTTCCAAGAGAAGGCGTGGCCAAGAATCGTTTTGGAAGATATTGCCCGTAGGCTGCAGTGATAAACAAATCGGGTTTGATTTCTTCCTCTAGGCTGTCCAAGAATTCCTTGTTGTTGGCCTTTTCCGGGCAGAGCACAGGCAAACCCAGCTCTTCGGCTACAGCTCCGACGGGACTCGGTTCGGCCTTTCCTTTTCGTCTTCTTCGCTTCGGTGGCTGCGTGATAACGCACACAATTTCATATTTCCCAACGCTATCTTCGTGTAGTTTTCGCAATGTTGTGGCGGCCACTTCGGGCGTCCCCAGAAACACAACTCGCTTTTTTTCTCCATCCCCATCCACGCCTCTGGTAGAAAATAATCTGGACGACATTGGTGTGGTCATAAGAGACTCTTGTCGACTTTCATATTGAAATCGCAACACCGAAGCTGGAGAAGTTTTAATGCTTACGAAAGCACGAGATCCTGCAACCCGTGATTGGAACGAGCGCACATAGCGAGCAGCCATGATAATTGGAAGATAATGTTGCAATGAAGGGACCTTCATGGAGTTTACTTATGCGGGTTTTGAACGGTCCTCGCTAGCCTTTTTGGAGCAATCTCACGAAGCAATTCTCTCGTCAAGTAAAACTACGTTGCTGGTAATACCTTTTTGGGCTTTAGCATCGGATTCGCGGTTTGGCCACAAAATCACATCAAAATAGAAATCCAAACGAGTGATGCACGACGATTTCTCTTACTTTTCCCGTCTCGTGCCCGATCCCCCGTTCGTGCCGTACAACGTACTAAACCACCTTGTACGTACTAGCTGCTGTACTGTAAATATTACTCGTACGTAAGAGACATAGTAGATCTATACGGTGCATTACCGTTTACCGTACATCATGGTCAATCAAATACAGTACGAACTGTGCGTACAGTACGCATTGTAGAAAAGATCCCGTGACGTGTTTATTTCATACTACTACATTCGATTGGTACGTACATATCCTGTCGTAGTGATCGTACGTACTATGGGGTCCACAAAATGGTTCAATCTTTGAAAGAAGTGGTAGCGCAGGAAGTTGTGAGGATTGATCATCAGTTATGTAATACAGTTCAATGCGACAAGGTTCATAGCTTGAAATTGGAAAGCAAGTAAACGAATGATTCCATTTTTGGAACTGGTCTCGATCTATTCAATATGTTGTTCAAGTATGGTTTCAATCGAAAATAATCGCAAAAATACATTTCCCTTACAATTCCCTGCCGGCACTATTGCTCGTTTTCAAAGATTATTTATTCAATGAGAAAATTTTGGCACTTTCGATGCCATGTAATATGATATGAAGCAAACCAAAATTATTGCTTTGACGAAACATGAATGCTTGGGGTGGGAGTTTATTTTCCTATAATCTATTGTCTCATGTTCGCTCCACCATCGGTAGGGCGGTAGGTTTCGGCGTCGGCGCTCTGAACCTCCGTCAGTTCCAGTGTTTTCAATCCTAGTATGTCTTTGCCCGCCTTGACCTTGCGATCTACCTGGTATCGCTGTGCACTTGGAGTCCAATCGAGAGAGGTCACCCAGCCCATGCCATCGTGGACGTCGGGATCTTGGTTCATCAAGTAGGGCAGGAGAACGGTGGCTCGGCCTTCCAGATCAAGCAACAGATATTGGCTGGCTTGTTCTTCACTCCCGACCGGCGGGGGATCGTAGAGACCACCCTGTGCACCGCGGGGTCCGAACAAGGCGTCCTGGGTGATGGCTTCGATGGCCGATCTGTAGTTTGTGGCGCGTGGCCACATTTCCAACGTTTCCCGACAGATTGTGAACGACTTGAGGTGCAGGGGTGGCATGTCGGTCGCTTTTTCGTCGTCTGTGACGCTGTATTCCAGCTTGATGCGGAAGCGGACGTCGTCGTCCGACGTGATACCGACTTCCGTGCCGTAGGTGGCGTAGGGTCCTTTGTTTGGCTCCTGCGAATCGACCAGTGGCGTTGCGGTGCAGATCGAGTAGGCGTTGCCGACGACCATGTTTCCCTGCTGTCCCCTGAAATCAAAGGCGCAGAGCTGGTCGGGCCAAAACTTGGTGTTCATGCTCGCCTCCTGCTGCTGGACCCATTCTTCCGAAATTTCCTCGTCGTCGTCCGGATCGTTGAAGATTTTCTCATGGTGCACGATTCGCTCGTACTCCAATCGGTTCTCGCTAGGCTCGTCGCCTTCGCCGGCGATGTTCACTCGCTCTCCTCGGCTGATCACCTTGAACGGCCCGGCCGCCCTGGAAAGCCGGGGACGCCCGCCGGCGTCGGTTTCACCGTCGAGGAAAGTCGACGTTTGAAAGACGATCCATTCTCCCTTGAATTCCTTCCCTTCCTTGAGAACGTCCTTGTAGTAGGTCTCAAATTGGTACTCGTCGTTTCGAACCCGGCGATCTTCTCGCATCGCTTCCACCTCGGCCTCGGTGTCAAAGAACTCGTCTCCGGTTCCCTGGTCGACTACGTATTCCGGGTCGTCGTAGTTGACGAATTCGAGCTCTGGATAGTTGGGGTCGGCGTAAGGATTTACTGGTTTCTCTTCTTCGTCATCCGACGACTCTGCGGCCAAAGAGGTACGAGTGTAGTCTGCCACCGGCTCCCGAGCGATTGATCCGACCAACCCTTGGTGCCGCTGTTGCACCGGAGCGGTGAAGGCAGTTGTCGTCGCCGCCGTGGCGAGCAGCATACCGGCTGCCAAAAGTCGGGACTCTGTAGTCCTGAATACCATATTGCACGTATAAATTATTGATAGATAGAATGGAAACGGGGTAGCAAACTTGTCGATTGCTTTGGTCCAAAGATGTCGAAGTGTGTAACGATCGGGCAGTGGCGAATTTTTGTATCCGGTGGAGCTCTACGGTACGTGTGATTGCAGAGACTAACGCAAGCAGGAATGCTGATGTGAAACAATTTGGCACTCGTACTGTGATACCGTAGTACCGGTACATGGCATACGAGACTTTTTTGGTTGGCGGAATGCGTGACTTGGCGTTGGTTCCGTAGCCCATCACGCATCTTAGCATTCGAGTCGAGATCTTCTTTCGCATTTGAAAACTTCGGTTCTGAGAATTACAGCTGTCCACACAAATGGTCCTAAATTTGGTCTTCTTCCTACTTTTAGTAGCTATGTTCCATATCGTACTCGTACTGCCCTCACCTCGTATTGAGTATTGAGTGCAAAGTGCATTGTAAATGGTACTAGCACTCTGTAGATACGAATCCTATGAATGCAATGAATGCTCCCTCGACAAAAATCCGCCCTGCATTGTGACATCTTTTTTGTACGTACTTGGACACGTGGAGATTAAAAATAAAAAATTTGACTTTGATTAATGGCGGGGGAGCGTGCCGGCGCAGTCCCTCCGTCCTCTTGAATTGAAAGAAACGCAAAGATGCTGGTGGTTGAAGGAGAGGCTCGCTCCGAGCAGCATCCAAGCCGAAATGTACCTTCAGGAAAAAAAGAAAAAGTGACACCAGACACATCTCTCAAAATCAGCCGTGCTTTGGCAGCAAAGACAGAACCGAAAGATTTCAACTGGTCCTCGCATTCTTCTGTTAGTGTCTCAATACTTTGGAGCATTCTCATTCCTTGAGAGACTTATCCTCGAAAGGAACTGATCTGTTTGATTTGTATTCGACCACGAGAAAAGTGTTTCTCCAAAAAACAGCATTTTTCGGAGTTGTTGATTTTGGTGGCTCTGAATTCCGACCAGGAGACTGCGATACCACTTTCGATTGTACCTTAGCACATTTTGCAACCGACCGACAGACTGAGATAGAACGGCCGACCAGCATTGGTGGAATAGTTTCTTGCTGTCTCAATTCAAATCCCCTCATTTCGTCTCGATCATGGTTTCGGGTAGGCGCTCTTACTCTGGACCAGCCGTCAATGGCGCTGGCCCATTGCCCCCGGTGTCCTCGAAGGCCAAGGACTATACAGAACGACCAGAAGAAGTCGTCGATGAACTCGACGAGTTGCGCGTACGAGGCATTGCCAAGGTCCTGAACAAACACTTCACAACCACTACCAAACAACTCGCCATAGAAAAGGCCGAAGCCGACGCGGCCCTTGCCGACCTCGAACGCCGCAGGGCCCAAACCAAGGCCTTTGTGCCGAGCAAGGGGGGGCAGCTGAACCCCTACGATCAATTGTACCTTCAGCTCCAGCAGAAACGCGCCGAGTGCCGGCGCAAGGAACGTGAAACCATGTTGTTGTACCAACGGTACGTCATGAAGTACGGCAAGTCCGCTAAGGCAGATCCCCTCATATCTGCCACACCCTCCGACTCGAACGGTCCCCAACAGCTAAAGGCGCCCAACTCGCCCAGCAAGGGAGACCCCCCTGGAAAATCGGGTCTGAGCACCCTTGATGAAAACTCGGAAATCACCTTTTCCAAATTCTACGACAAACAGCGAGAGAAGCAAGAACTCGAACGAATCAAGAGAGAGAACAGCGAAAAGAGCGCCAAGCACTTCATGTCCGCCCTTAACAAGTTTATGGCGGATGAGGACGAAACCGATGATCTGCACCAAGCTAATGGGGTTCCAGAGCTCGTGCCGAGCAAGGATAGTTGCCAGCCATCACCCGCATCAAGCAATGGCAAATTAGATCCGTTCATGTCTGCACTCTCGAGATTCAAAGAAGGACAAGAGGATAGGGCGGAAGAAGAAGAATCTCCCGCGATGGTCGCTACCAACGACGATGATGAAGACGACGACGAACAGCAGGTCCAAAACGTCATCCACAGAGTTGCGGCAGATGCAGCAGAACCAAAGGAGGACAATGATTTGCTCGTAATCAAAAGGACGCCCTCGGAAGATCCGCCCGGAAAAGGTGGTACGGAGTGCGTACCCGAAGACGAATCCATTGTCTCGGAACAACGCGATCGCAGCAATGAAAAATCGCTTCCGACTCTTCAGAAAACGGCGCCAAATGGATACACAACGATTGCCAAAACTGAAACCGCGATCCCGCCCGCGACCCCCGATATCGTGCCGGCAGTAGGACAGGCAACACTTTCTCCCGTTACCAATCAGTCGACTCCCAAGAGTGGCAAGTTTGATGTCAACGACATTGAAGGATTCGATTTTGATGATCGATCGATTATTTCGGAACTTACCCTTGCAAACTCTGCTGTAACTCGTCAAGTTTTGGACGAGGTCGAGATGGAAATGGACGACTTTATCCAGAGTGAAATGCAAGCTATTCGAAAGATGCTCGACTCGGAAGAAGACGCCTCCACCGTGGATCCATCCTTTAACGAAGATCAATCGGAGGCTTCTTCTCTCGTGCTTGCAGATCAATCGGTGAAGGTGGCAATGAAAGCGGAGGCCATGGCACGTGAAATGCAAAAAATCCTAGACGATTTTGCAAAGGAAGACGCCATGTCTGTCGCTGAAGGAAGCACTTCGGGAGCCAACGAGTCGGTTCAGTCTCCGGAGAAGCAATCTAACAGCGCCGAACCCGCGAGTGTGTATCCATACAAGTTTGAACCAGCGATCCCGGGTGAAGAATGGTACGTGCACTTTGACGACAACTATCAAAAGGAATTTTATGTAGAAAGGAGATCGAATCGAACGCAATGGGACTATCCACAAAAAGTACCGAGTCCGCAAAGGGAAGAAAGGCCAGTTTCTGCGGACGACTTTCTATCGGACATGCATTCTGTTGCGAGCAGCAGGCGATCGCTTTCTCGACGATCGTCTCGCCGAAGTATTTACCGCAAGCAAAGAAAACGACGCCGAGCCCGTAGGTTGATGATATCGTTTCTGGCGTTGCTTTGCGTACTGGTGAGCGTCTTTTGTTGGCGCATCAAACACCCTGGTGAATCTATAACCGTTGCTCTGACAACATTCGCAGTAGGTCTCAGGGACATGAGCATAGAGGATTTTGTGAACCTCGTCATTGACCAGTACGAGTATTCCTTTACGGATAGAAAAGCTCGAGAAGAAGAATCGCGGCGGCTTCAGCAGGAGCAGAAGGCCAAAGAACTCGCTGCACGGCTTGCCGCAGAACGGGCCGCAAAACTTGCTAGAGAAGACTCCCAGCGAGAAAAGGAAGAAGCCGAAAGAATAGCAAATCAAAAAGCCGCGAAGGCTGCACGGGAGCGAGAAGAGGCCGCAAGGGTCGCCCGTGAGCTTGCTGCCAAACGAGCGAAAGAAGAACGAGAGGAACGCGAACGACTTGTCCTGCTCGAAGCGGAAGCGAAGGCTAAGGCTGAAGAAGAGGCCAAGAAAGTGGAAGTGAAAAAAGCCCGCCGAAACTTTGGATGCAACATTCCTTTTGCCTATGTCGTTCCTTATTGCTGGCGCTTGGCAAAATCAAATCCCATTTTTGGTCTCAAAAACGAGAACGATCTAGTGTTTTTGCAATAAATATGATCAAGATTGAGCGAAAGAATTGACACGATTTATGGAAAGGACGCGAGCTCGGAATTCTCGAACTTTCAATCTACACATTCTTCCTCTGTGGTAGACGAATCATCATAGAATAAAATAGGCACCGCAGTTGGAAGAAGTGTAGCACACATACATGGGGCATGGCTTGTGCAGAGAAAACGAAAAAGAATATACTTCAAAAATTAATATTGAACATAGTATAGAGAAGAAGTGATTATACAATGTTATTGATATTCCACAATTCAACTAACAAAGCAGAAAACGTTGCTTGGTGCACATTCATGTGGTCTTCGCGTTTTGTTCTATTTTATTCACGGCAAAGATTGTTATCATATCAGCTTTCTTTATTTCTATTTTATTATTGTAATTCATGGGTTATGTATCACTTTTACCCCAATTGGTAATTCAAAATGTCCGTGATTTTACACCGACGATGTTTTGCACTTCCTCCCAGACCACGAGAAATCGATTTCCCTCAATTTTTCCATCCTATGGGGTGTCATTGTGCTCTGTTTGCCCTCCGTCAGAAACTTGTACTGCCGTCTCTGTCTCTTCACCCAGATCGCAAGTTGCGGATTTTGTTTGTATTTGCTCGGAACGTTGGTTGTGCCAAAGATGCTCTTGAATTGTTTCAGCTCCTTGAGGCGCTCTTCCCACACGGCATCGTGGGAGTTCCACACAAAGCCGAGTTTCTCGAGGGCCACCACGCGATCATCGCTCATGCTGGAATGCTTTCCCAGTCCCTTGAGCTTGTATTGATATCGCTGGCGCTTTACCCATTCTGCCAGTGGCGGGTTCTCTGGAAACTGGTTCGGAACCAGGCAATGTCCATTGGCGAGTCGATAGTCTAGCAGCTCTTCGTATTTCTCCATCCAGCCCTGGGCTTGGTGCGATCGGAAGCGCAGCTTGAACGACTTTTTAGGGGCTGGTGTTTCATCCGTCGCTTTTCTCTTCCTAGTGTTGTGTTCCTTTGGAGGCGACAGGGTTGGAGTTAGATTTGGCCCGCATTGCTGGTGATGGTGGTGGTGGTGCTGCTGCTGATATTGCTGCTGGTGATKGTTGTGCTGCTGATATTGTTCTCTGTCAGTAGCTGGCGCTGTAGGAGTAGAAAAAACGTCAAAGAATTGTGACATCGATGTCCCTATTTTGTTCGACGACTTCGATGGTTGGTCCTCGTCTTTTCTCACTGACGTTCTGGTGGGCTGAAACAACTTATTGGTATAGTTTTTCGAGGATGGAAACGAAATAGAAGTCAATGAATCTTGGGTTGGTTTTGTGCTCCTCTCAACTCTCTGATCTCGAGCATACTGGATGCTTTTGTCCTCACGATCGTCTATTTCGAAGACATGCTCTGGTCGAAAGATTTCGTTGCTATCGAAGGCTAGGTCTGTTTTCTGAGATTGTTCATCCGCGAAGTAAGCAATCGAGGATCTACGGGTCGGTTCGTCGGCAAAGTAAGCAATCGAGGCTCTGCGGGGAGTCATCCGCGGAGGCTTTTTTTGCTGGTTGTGATAATTAGCATTGCTAGCGTATGTCAAGTTTGTATCGATGCAAGCCCGTCTTATGTTTGCCGTGGTCTGATTGTAGCTACGATCAGCGTCAAATATGAAGTTATTCATGGGGATTGCGAGTGTATTCATTTGGAATAAAATACAAGACACTTCTTTCCTTCTATATTTGATGAATCTAAGTGTTTGCTTGTTGTGTATTGCTGTCTATTTTATGTGTGGGAACTTCAAGTTAATCCGAATGCTGTAGTTGCGTTAGAAATGTGTGGGGATTTCTGATTTTGTGAAATTTGAGACCTAACGTGACGAATCTGATCGTAAATCGATAAGTACGTGAAATCACATCGCGGTGGACCATGACGGTCATCTCACTGGGACATGGGTTACAACAATACGGTATTCGCGTTTTTATTAGCGCCCAGAAATCAAATATTCTTGTTTTTTGGGCATGGATGAACAGTTATTTCAGACCTGAACCATTGAAGTTGAATGGAAAGGAAAATCAATAATGATATGCCCGAGACTGCGAACCGTACGGAATGATCTTGCTTAGTCCGAAAACTGTCGTGTCCTCCATCTTTCACTTACTGTACCATAAGATAAGCGCGTTCAATGACCACGACCCAGTGGTTGAACGGGATGAAGATCATACCGGTGGGCAATAAGCTTTATGCTGGTCTACATCGGGGAAACAAAAATAATATTCTCTCACTTCCTTCGTTCTAAAACGCACGGTCAAGTGCACAATACGGTATTGACATTGCCCGTGCCATTGCGGGCTGGGCAATCGGTACTTATGTTGCGGTATGGCTGATGGGTTTGACACGACGAAATTGAAAAAAATGTGAGCACACAATACGGTAATCGTACTTTCTTAAATTAATGCTGGCGATCGGTTCAATTGACAGGTACGAAGTATTTGTAGAAAATTAGGCTACACAAATCTCGAAGCAGGCCTAGCAATACCACTGTGATTTTTCAAGATTCGAACGGTCTTGGCTTTGCCACGTAAGACTGTCTTATCGTGTTTCTCGGTAAAACATGAGTTGCTCTCAACAAAAGAATCAGGACTAAGTGCATGACAGAAAGGTAGAAAGCGAAATGTGTTATGTTGGGATTGATGTGCAGAGTGCGGTGGAATAAAGAATGTTACAATATTCTTGGTATCCCGCCACAAGCTTCTGTAGTATTCTACCAGTTGTTCAAGCCGAAATCGATGCCCGCTTCTTTTTCGTTTTTCCTCCGGTCCTTGTACATCTCCAGCGCATTCTTTCTCTCGGTTCGATCCGATCCCGCCGCCGCAATGTCCTGGGCCTGGGCAAAGAATTCGTCGACGACGTCCTGGGATTCTTCTTGAGCGTCCTCGATCGGGTCTGAAAAATACCGGTTTCCCAATCCGGCGCGATCCCCCCCGATTTCGATCTTTGGGATTCCGTTGGCCCTGCGCCAGTCGTTCGAGTCCCTGAGGGAATACGAGCAACCACAGTATTCTTGCTTGTAAAACTTGTTCTCTGCCGATATTTGGTATTTTCGCAGCGTCATTACATCCGTTTGCCAGTCTCGGTACCAGTAGGTGAGACCCTCGTAGCGAGCCGCCGCCCGGATCCCCGATCCGTCCACCTGTTTCGCATCCTTCCACCGGGAGGTGGCATTTGTCGTGGCAATGGCATCGAATCCATTCTCGTGTGCGTAGAGGGCAGTTCGTTCCATCCGCATGTCGAAGCATTCTGTACAGCGATTTCCCCGCTCTGGGTCGAACTCCATCCCCTTCATGCGTTTGTACCAGTTGTCGGAATCGTAGTCGCAATCGACGAATTCGATGCCTAGGCATTCGGCAAACCGCTTGTTTTCTTCCTTGCGGATCATATATTCTCGCCTCGGGTGAATGTTGGGGTTATAGAAAAAGATCACGACCTCCAGCCCGTACTTCTCTGTGTAGCTAAGCATCTCCTCCACCATGGCACCGCTGCAGGGTGCACAGCAACTGTGTAGCAGGATTTTCGATATCCCTTCGGGGGGAGGATTGTCATATAGACCTGCCCGTCCCTTTTCTGCCATGCGCTCCTGGATCCGTTGGCTAGCGGCGACCGCCCATTCGGGTGCGTTCGAGGGAAGCGCTCCCCCCTCGCTGTATTTCAACTCCGGCATTTTATGCGAAGGAAGGGGCGTCAGTTATTCGCAAGGAAACAATTGAGCTGATTGTAGGAAAACACCGAAATGGAAAATGGTAGCTGATGCTGTGACTTGATGGATTGGTTGTCGGGAACACTGTGGAAAAAGGGTGGTTCTCGATCTCTTGATGAATCTCCGTAGTGTAGATAGGTAACCTTCCATTACGTTTTGATGATTGATCGGCTTCTCGGTTCGTACCGGTATGTCTGCGTCTAAAAATGAGTGATGTGTGTTGGGGGTGGGTCACGAATCAGTCATGAGCAGGATTTCATCGTGCGTCGGGTTACAGACGACGATTTACAGTACGAGCAGTACGATACGTATGGTATTACCGTATGAGGATAGACAAGGTGTGACTAAGGAGTGTTTTCTACTGGCACCGGCAACCGGCATTCAACAGAGCAGAGTACAGTAATATAACACTACAGTAGTAGATGATACGGTAGGTACCCAAGTACTCGTACGTCCCTGTTCGGCTATGATTGAGTTGAAGTTCTGAAGTACAATGCTGTAGTTGCAGTGAGCTAGTAGGCATGAATATCAAGAACAAATGATTCTGAGATGATAATGGACCACTTGCCTTGAGTGGCCAAAGGTAACATAAATCTCCAAAATATAAATCATTGGTTGATACAACAAACATTAGTTCAGAGGACACAATCAAAGACTAGAAATTAACATTTCGTAGTTAGTACTACGAAGTAAGATGGTATAATCAAAGCATTGGCCTTAAAAAGTTACTTTTTTGGACGGGAAAAGAAGCAAGCATCTCCATAGCTGAGAAATTTGTAGCCGCGATCCTGGGCGCTCTCGTACAATCTGCGTACTTTCTTGCCGTCTCCGAGGAAGGCCGATACCAGAAGCATCAGAGTCGAATCCGGAGCATGGAAGTTTGTAATCAGATTGCTCACGACCTTGAAGTCGTATCCGGGAACAATCATAAGACTTGTTCTACCGGTGACGGTATCTTCCGATGATTTGTCCCCAATCACAGCGGCCAAAGCATCGGCGCTGGTGATTTTGATTCCCTTTCGTTCCATGATCGCTTCCAGGTGTTTCCAGTCGTGCTGGCCGAGCACCGTCGCGTCGTCATCGCCCATCTTCTCTTCCAATATCATTTTGACACCACACCAGTAAAGACTTTCCAGGGTCCGGGAACTGGTGGTTCCGACCACAACTAGGCGTTTTTGGGATTCCAGCGACTCAATGATCCGTTGGAGCTCGCCCACCGACACCACGAAGCTTTCGCCGTGCATTGCATGATCACGGGCGTCTTCGACAACGACTGGCTTGAATGTCCCCGCCCCAACGTGCAAGGAAAGATAGCTGATATTGTCTTGACCGATCTCTGCGAGCAGGGGATCGGTAAAGTGTAGCCCCGCCGTGGGAGCCGCCACAGAACCTTCGCCCGATGCATAAACATTGTTATAGGCATTCTCGTCGGATGCTTCTGCTTCTCGGTTCAAATACGGTGGAATTGGAACGGAGCCGACAGATCGAAATAGCTCTGACATATTTGCGATGCTATCGTCCTTGGTCGAACACCTTACCACGCACTCGGTACCGTTTCCGTTGCTCTTTTCGTCTTCGATCCATGGTCCCTTCACCATTTCAACACGAAACGAAATCGAGCCTTCGCCGTGAACGTGAAACAAATCCCCGACTTGAACTCCTTCCTTCCGAATCATGACGGTCAATGCTGTATCTTGACACGGCTTTTGAAGGACGTCGCCCAAATCGAGAACCATCATCTCGGTTTCCACTTTGTTGGGATCTTCGGCGCTGTTGACACTCAACCGGGCGTTAACGACCTTGCTTTCGTTGAAAACGAGGTGGGAGTTTTCTAGTAGCGGTAAGATCGAGTCCGAAAAATTGTCAAAGTAGTTCACATTGCCACTCTCGTCCACATTGAGCAGACGCGAACTCCCTCTAGGATCCGCGGGGTATTTGGCAATCGCATCGTCTCGCAAATCATAGGTGAAATCACTCATTTTGATTTTTTGGTGTTTGGAATCTTCGTCGGCAATCTATAACGAATAGTATCGAGTAGTTGTAATTGGATTTTTACAGTCAAGAGTGAGGTTATTCAGTATGGCTAGTACGTGGTTCTTCTTTCTACTAGTTTGGATCGGTTCTTACCTCTTCCGACAAAATACCATTTACTCTGCGAGCAGCTTCATAATCTTTGTCCGTGACGTCGTTTGCCTCGAAAGAAAAATATTCCATGTTTACATCGACACCGTCCACACATTTATGGGTGAACGAAATGTTGGCGTGGTGATCCATCTCGGAACTCATGTCGTTGACCTTGCTTACGAACTCCAGAGCCGAGTCGTAGTCTTTGAAATGAATCGATCTGTTCAGAGATCCGCTCTTCTTTTCCCATGTCGCATCTACTTCTCCCGTCTTTGCCGCTCGTTCCCATGCAGCGCGGGCAACGTTCTTATACAGCTGGGACACGGGGATCGGACCAATTCCTCCCGGAACAGGACTGAATCGCTTCGCTTTGGCCAAGAAATCACCCTCGAAATCAGAAAGTAGGCGATCCTTCTCTTCGCTGAAAGTGGTTCCGACATTGATCACTTCGGCGCCTTCCTTCAGCCAGCGCGCTTCGAATATGCCGGGATCACCGACGCACGACACGACAATGTCTGCCGATCCCACCAGAGACTCTAGATTGTCTCTGGAAACACCGGAGTGTGCAACCGTCACAACGGCGTCCTTAGCGCGCAGCATGTGTGCCACCGGAGACCCGACAATGCGGCTTCGGCCAATGACGAGTACGTTTTTCCCCTTTGGATCGATGCCGTATCTGTCCATCAACGCTATGGTGGCCGCCGGTGTGACCGGGGGCAGAGGAGAGGAACCAGGATCCTTTTCGAGCTCTCCGATGTAGTGTGCACCGTCGACGTCTTGGTCGACCCTGATGGCATTGTAGGCTTGGGCCGAATCGATGTGCTCCGGGAGGGGCCACATCAACTGGATTCCGTCCACGTCCTTGCTCTTGTAAATCTCGCTCAACAGCTCGTCCGTGGTCGTGCTCTCCGGGAGATCGATTTCCCGAACGTCGAAACCGTGGTTCTCTCCAGTCGAGGTCTTGCTGAACCAGCTGTTTCTCTTGTTGCTGTAGATTTTGATGCGCCTGTCCCCGTGGGTATACCTCGACAGCTGCCCCACCGTGATGACCACCAGCGATGGCTTTCGCCCGTGTTTCGCGTAAAAGGCGGTCGCGGATTCTTTCGCGTCTTCAAGCGTGGTTCTCGCCAGCTCGTTGCCCGCCAAAAGCTCGGCTGGTGGCTGCCACACGGTAGCGTCGAGACCGAAACCGGGTTCCACGGTGTTTTCGCCGAGCAGCCAGTCCGTAGCTTCGTTCCACCGGTTGGGATTGATGACGCCGTATCGGTCTCCCTGGAAGGTTTCCTTTGCGTAGTCCCCGCACAGCCCAACGTTCTGGATCGTGTATTCGAAGGAGGGATCCCAGTGATCGTTGTTTTCGTCGTCCAGGCCCAGCATGGCCCTGGCTTCTTCTACGCTCCTCGCGGCGTGTTCGGTGTCCCGGACCGCCGCTCCCCAGCCCCGAAAGGTGGCATCGAGAAAGCTCTGTAGAACCTCCCGTTTGCCGCTGCTTTCCTCGGCGGGCAGGTCCTCGCTCGGTGCGAACAACACCTGCGAGTATCCCAGCTTGGTCCCGTTCCATCCCTCGAGCGGTGTGGAGGTCACGGTGCCGGCACTACCGAGGCGGCGTTCGAGCGTCGGGACCTCGGTCGTGGCGTAGGCCTGGATCGCGTCCAGGCGGCCCTCCAACAGGTCCGTGATCTTGCTGGCGCGCGGGCTCGCCACCACGGACGCGTTGCCCCGCTGGTTCCCCTCCCCGGCCAGAATCCGGTTCAGCAGCGACACGGTGTCCTCGTGCGCCCCAACCACGGAAGACTGCTCGCTCCCGCGGTCGGCGTCGCGGACCGAGGCCAGGCAGAGGGGCGAGGTCCGGAACATGGCGGCGACGGCCTTCACGCCCAGCTCCGGGCGTTCGTGGAGGAGCGGGGCAAAAATGTTTTGCTCCACGCTGCCGACCACCGCGTCGTCGGTGGGGTGGGCGTCGCGGTGCTGCCGGACGCGCTCCAGCTCGAGCCCCACCGGGCAGATGGGCAGGAACCGGAGGTCGATCCCGGCGTCGTTGTACAGGCCGTCGACCATGGCGCAGGCGATTCCGGCGAACTGGGGCGACATGTAGTAGTCGAGCTGGAGGGAAACGGTCGATTTGGAGCGGCGGGGGCCGCCGATCCTTCCGATCGTCCTTCCGGAGGTTCTGCCCTTGCGGGCTTGCTTTGCGAGGATGCGAGAAATCATGGCTCCCGTCGTCGTCGTCGTCGTCGTCGTCGTCGTTGTGGATCGGAGTATTTTGGTTTCTGTTCCGCCGGTGCAAGGCCAAGAGTGCTTCGGATTTTTGTGGGTGTCGTGGAGTGTCGAAGGAGAAGGGGAAAAGATCTTGTTTTGTAAATAGATAAAGGCGATGATGTAAAAAGACTATGCAACCCGGTGTTCTCCGTTCTGTTGATACGCAACGATACAGCACTGTATTGTTGTCTGAAATACCAAAGGAACTGTCCAGCGCGTTTGAAAGAACCCAGGTGAAGGAAGGAAACGCGCAATTCTATATTTCGGAAGAGACAATTATCGTGCCAATACGTCGGATCAATCGGTCGATTGGCTGTTGCTTTCGGTTGTGGTAGCAGACGCTCTTTTGAGAATGTGAAAGCCGAGAGGCGTTCTGCAGCAAGGCTTGCTGGTGGGTACGAGTACTGTACTCGTCAAATGCAACTAAAGTTGCACTCCCAATATTGGTGCGCCGGCTACGCCCAAATGTACCACATAGGCCCTAACCCCCCAATCGAC